AACCATGATCCTGGGCGCAGGGTGTAGCCAAACCCAGTGGGGCAGCAGGAGAAAGGGGGAGAACCACTGGGAGCAGAAGACACAGTCCCAGCCTTGGGGGACTTATATCTTGATCTGGAAGATGGCACGTACGCTGACATATAATCAACTCACGATGTATCACAAAGGAAAAATTAATGAGGTGATTTCTCAACAGGTGCCTATTGACAAAATACAATTGGGCTATTGGATGACCAGACCCAAAGCAGGGGGCATCAGAATAGAAGTCAGCTTAGGATTCCAGAAAGAGACATTGAGCACTGAGTATTGATAAGAAAGCAGGAGGCATAGATGGACTGATTGATCAAATATTTACCAGGTACTTATGTACCAGGCTCTGTGCTGGGGTGCAGTGATATAGGTTAGGGAGACCTATATGGTCCCTGCATCCGTGGAGACTGTCAACTCTGGAGGAAAAAGATGCTGAGCAAGAAGATGGTAGAGGGTGATGATGCTCTTCGGTGAGGGTTTCCGTAGCAGAGTGAAACAGGAGTCCCTGCACCAGGCTAGGACAGAGGGTGGCGAGGACATTTGACGTGGTAAGAACAGTGGAGGCCAAATAGCAAGGTAGGAGGAACCCTGGAGGAGGTGAGAGCCGTGACGATGCAGGAGGACCTCCAGATCGGATCTTGGGGCTGGGTGCAGACCGTGCAGATGGGGGCGTGTGTGTCAGGTGACACCAATTCGAATCCCGGCTTGGCACTTCCTGTGACCTTCTCTTATCAGAGAGCGTAAGTAACGCCTGTGAAACAGCTGAGCACAGAGGAGGCCTTCATTAAACGAGGCTTCCTGCTGTCTGCCCTCCAGTCCAGTTCTCAGGGAACACAGCCACCTGAGATTGTTTTAAAGTGTAGGTTCTACTATTATTCAGGTACAGTGAGGCCAGCATGTCAGGAGATGACTGCTGTTGAAAAGGTGGTTTGTACTCACAGTTCCCATGCGGACCACACGGGGAAGCACCAGAGTCAGTAAGGAAGCAGAGCGGGTGAGGGGAAAGTATGACTAAGAGTCTTTATTGCAGTTTTCCTGGGAAGGAACAGGGGAGGCAGGGTAGGTGAACAGTTTAGGATTGGCTAGCTTGAATAATTTCGGGAGCTCCGGGGCTGCCTCTGGTTGTCTAATCCTCGTCCTGGGGTGACTAGGGCAGGGGATATTGGCCCTGGTGCATAAGAACCTTGTGAGAACCGCGGAAGGAGATGCTTAGGGGTATGACTTTGGATTGGTTCATCTGCATGTGAAAGGCGTGCTCCTAGGCTAGCCATCTGCTCTGGAGAAACTAGCTAACGCTGCGAGGGGCAGTTTGGTGCCATCCGCCCATGGAGTTCTTCGTGGTCAGTGGGGCCCAGATGCCAGAGCATCAAGAATACAGAAAATAAGAGGATGTAGTTACTACAGACTGTCAGAAGATGGAAGAGCAGGGACTTTGGGGGCGCTAAGAGGTGGCCTTCTCCCCTGCAGGGTGGCTGGAAGTGAGCTTTTGACTCTACCCTGAGGTCTCTTTTCAACCAGAGGTAAACACAACATTCCCACTAGCTGACTTCAGACTCCATAAATTACAGCTTTTTTTTTTCCTCCAGTCCATTTGGAAAAAGTGAAATGAACAAATGAAGATAGGAGCGAAATTAAAAGATAATTGGAAGTCTATATTGGGCGTCTGTGAACGTGCGTGCGTGCTGCCAATCTGGCCTCTCCGTGCGGGCAGGATAAATTGAGAACCCTTCAGTTGGCTCAGAGGGTGGGTAAAACAGTCAGAGACAAATGCGTGCCATGCAAATAAACAGGCCCATCTTCGAGCGATTAGCTTTGAACTCCACGGTGCTGGTGCCTTCCCTGCTCTTCTCAGTCTGGGTCTGTGTTTTCCAGGGTGGAGGCCCGTCCAGGTGAGTGTGGCAGGTGAGGCCCAGAGGGGAGGGACGAGGCTGGGAGGAGGTGGGTGTGGGCAGCTCTGGAGGTGAGGTGTGTGTGCAGTAAGGGGTAGAGATGTCAGACGGGAAGACAGGGAAGAGAATGGCCTTTTGCACATTCACGCGCATGTGTACCCACGTGCACACTA